GGTTATGTTTAGAAAGAGTTTGGGCTGTTTCACATGCATCTAAGTGACAAAATCGAGGACTTTAAAATTTATATGATTTAATTATCATGCAACACCAATTATTTTGACTTGAGTTAGAACAGTCATCCTCCTACTCTTAAAAACATTGTTACGATACTGAATACTTTCTAATTTCTTATGTACTTCAGTATTGCTAAAACACAAACTTTCTCACATCAGGAATTTGTACTACTTAACATTAGTTGTCTCTTAAGTTTTAGAGACCCAGGCTCTTTCCTAGACCTACTCCATCAGAAGCTTCTGGGCATTACTCAGAGCTGTTTCTTTTTAAAAGTTCCATTACTGATTCTGAGAGGAGAACCATGACTTTATCATCACACCATCTTGTGGAAGAATGTAAGACTTATGTAACTGTGCAATTTATTAGACAAGGTACTCTTTATTTGTTGAAATGTGGTATAACAATGTTATTCCAATAGCATGTATACATTTTTTAGAGCCATTTTTAAGAAAAACTCTTAATACCAAGAATGTTCTTTAATGTGTCATAAATGATCATTTACCAGTTTAGTTTACTATACTTAAAATGAAAATTTAACCAAGTTTTTATGTGTGCCCAAAGCATCATCTTAAGTACTCCAATTCTGGAATCCATTAAATTATATGTCTACTTTAAAGGACAACTAGAGGCGACAATTATTGTAAACCTCTTGGATGGACTACGCGTTTTCATCTCTGTGAAAAATTCTTCACCTTCACTGCCAAAAAAAATTGAGTTTTATTAAAGGTAATTGTGCATGTTTATTCTCTTCTATATTTATACCCTTATTCTGTTCCTTAAAAGAGCTGTATTTATGATAAAAATATGCAAGTTAAAAAATTCAAGCATTTGTATACATAGTTTTTAAGCAGTTTAAATTTTATTGACCTCCCAGTTTTTTTTAAAAAAAGTTAAATTTAAGGTCACACCTCTAAGTTTGATGTATTATATACAGATCGTGCAGAATAAGTATGAAGAGATACAAATTAGTCCATGCCCCCAAATTTACTAGAGAATCATATTCATAAATACATATAAAATTCTTGTGAAGACAGAAGGGGACTGTCCAGGTTTTCTGAGACACTTAAAGTGACTCAAGGCACAAAATGTACACCACTGTGAATACACACATTCTAGACTTTGTGCCACTGATACAGCCCAAAGATTTGGCTTCAAGACTGTTATAAAACTAAATGTACTGAATGAGACTCTGCTTTTTAAGTGAAAAACCACAAGACCTATAAACATCATGTAGATAATTACTCCAAAATATGGAGAATACAAATACAAGCACTTTATTTTAAAAAGAAAACAAAAGATGAGTGTAAATTCAAAAGTGTTTAAATGCTTCCATTTGGGATAATTCAATTAAGAACCTATACAAGTTTATTCCCAGAAGCTAATGCATCACTAGTCTCTACTAAGGAAAATGAATTCTAATAACATGGTTTTCAATAATTCAAATTTTACTATTGATATAAAAACCTAGAGAGACCAATAATACACAGTAGCTTCAAAAGATAAGCTAAAAACTCTTTGATGTAATGAACCTTACCAATTTTTGTCCAGGCCTGTTTTAATATATACACAAGGAAAATACATCAACTCTATAATTTCTTATAAAATAGCAAGTAAGGAGTAGATGTAGGAGATGTAGAAGGGGAAAGAGAATTCAAAAAGTCCTTCTCTTCAGTAACTTTCACTTCAGAATCATCAAAAAGCAACCACTTCCCCTCATACTCCTTTAAGCTCTGCACTACATACGAAATTTTGTTCTCAAATCCACTAATATTAATGCCCACATGGTCACGGGATTCCTTGTTTCTATCAGATTCATGGGTCCCATTAGTACTATTAGTCTCAGAATTTCTATTTTCAGCAAATGCTGTACTGGCAACCTTATCAGGATTAGATGCTTTGTTGTGTAGCTCATAATCTGCTTTGCTCTTCTGTCCTCCAAGAAGTCCAATAGCTTCTACATTTTTTTTGCTCAAAACTTTACTTGGCTGTGTGTTTCCGACTCTAATCGATACTTCTTCATCGTAATTTTCAACCACATCCCTTGCTTCTTCCTCATTCAATGGTTCTGGCTTACCTATTTCACACATTTGGTCAACCACAAAATTTTCCTTATCTATTTCTAAACTGTTAAGATCAGTAACTTTAACAGAAGCAGTGTAATGCCCACTACTAATGGTAATACCACTATGCATCACAACTGCAAATAATCCATAGCTGTCATTAGTTGGCTTTATACTCCATTCTTCTAGTGACAATTTAAGAGGTGTCAGTAAAGGAGTGTTGATCTTGGAAAGTCCACCGCCATAACAATCAAACCTTTGGAAGAAAAAAAAAAAAGTTTTCCTGTGGTTCCGTTATAAATTCAAAACTTTACACCCAATGTGAAAGAAACCAAGTAAAAAATCTGAATGAACCCTTAATATTTAGTGCTCATACGAATAAACAAAAAAAGCAGAAAAAAACAAGACCCCAATTTTGAATATGTATAATATATACGCAAACAAAAAATACTAAAATAACTGCTAACATTCAGATGTTTCTGTGGCGAATATATCATTTCCCCCCTCATTTCCTTTATTTTCTCTGAAGTGGGAAAATAAATGGCATTTTAAGAATAAACTTAAAACCAAAATCCTTTATATTTTAGTTATTTTAATGTGAAGTCTCTCTGCTAAGATTTGGGAACAAAAATAAACAGTACTGTAGCAAAGAAAAAATCCACTGAAAAAAGAGGACTATATGTCATCTTCTGATATACTAAAGTGTGTGAGCACTACTGGGAAGCCCTCACGGTAATTTCAAAAAAGTCATTAACGTACAAAGTAGTAAAATGTACAATGACATACATGTCAGAAAAAGCCACCAACTATCAAAAATGTAATTAGCATTTTTATGTATATCTTTTTAATAGCTTTTAGACCTTCAAATTCTCAATTATAGAAGAAAATGTCTGAAGCTGTTCAATAGTTTGACTTCCTGGCTTACCTTAAAACTAAAAAAAATTTTGTTTTTCTCCCTTTAAAAAAATTTTTATGTGTACAAAATTTGTTCCTTGCTGTAATCAGTTCTACTAAAACTAAATCCTGCTCCTAGCATCTAAGCAGGAATGAATATGAAAAGATGTATAAAGAAATCATACATAATAGAATATGTATTCATACGAAAAGGATTTAAATGGATGCATTTTTACAGGGAAACTGTTAAGAACAAAACTTTTCTAAGGCAATCATTACAAATCACTTCATTCCAGTACTTATATTCCTACTATCATAATATTTTGAACAAAACTTCTCTTCTATAGCAACTCATCTTCATCATATACCTTTTTTTTTATGATACTCACTCCAAGCCACTAGCAGCAAAGCACTTCAAATGAATAGTTATAACTTCAGGCATTTTGTCAAACAAAAGACTTCGTTCAGCTTCAGTATAATGATGGCAGTTTTCACAGAAATATTTATCTTCTCCTACAATCCTCTCCACTGAAGCAAACTGTGAAATTGCCCATCTCAGGGTCTTCATTTCTGTTTTTGGCTCTGGAGAAACTACAAAAGAGAATCCTTTGACTCAAATAATTATCTCTCAGACATTCAAAAATTAAACCACAAAGTTTCATGTTCAAAATTTGTATTCAATTTCAATCAACTAACACACTCCCAAATAATTAGAATTTTCTACTTTCAGAAAGTATTTTTCCATATTTATATTATATAATTATTCCTCATCCTATATATAATTATATTATATATATTACATTCCATACTTATATAATATTCCATATTATATTTAATAGCCAATTTTCATTATCTGACAGGTAAACCAGTCCCATGATTTCCCATTACATTTCCATACTTTTGGTGGTTTACACTAAACATAACAGTGTCTCAAATATTGTTAAAAATAACCTCAGTAGTTCTCAAAGATTCAAGTCCCCAAACGTTTAAGAAAATTAAAGCATTTCATTTTTCCACTCTCACACAACAATGTACCAAAATAAAGATGCCACAACTTTCCAAATGGTATTAACAAGTAAAGCTTGATAAGCAGAAAGATTATATTAGACCAAGGATACTAAAAGCCAGCTTTTTTTTTCTCCATAATTATGCAAACTACTATTAGACTGTATTGTTGAAGAAAACTGTAATT